TGAGGCAGGAGAATTGCCTGAACCCAGGAGGCGGAGGTTGCGGTGAGCCGAGATCGCGCCATTGCACTCCAGCCTGGGCAATAAGAGCGAAACTCCGTCTCAAAAAAAAAAAAAAAGAAAACCAATAACAAAACCAAAACCCCTTTAGGGTTTTCAAAAATGAGGTGAAAGGGGTAGGAGCCCTAGGGGTAGGGTTGGCTGGGAGGCATGAGGGGGCAGGCCCCATTGTCACAGCTCTGACCAAGAAAAACAAGTGACAAAACACATTGAAGGACCACTCCCTCTTCTTGCAATAAAAAATTTAAAATCAAGACATAGTTATTGTTTTTGAAGATTTACAGGAGACAATGGCTCTGCTGAAGCAGGCTGAAGAAATGGGGAGAACTTAAGTCCACACTTCTTGTATAATGAAGCCATTGTCTGCTGTGAAAGGAAAGCTTCCATGTATTCAAAGTACAAAACTTCTTCCCAAGGAAGTGTCCTGAAAACTTAAGGAAAAGCCTTTACGATTTTCACTCCTGTCTTTATGATGAGGTGACGTACATGTAATTCTAGGTCCAAAGCTAGTTGATGGCATGGGGAAGGATCACAAGGGTCACACCTCACATTCCTACCTGAATGAGAGAGTCAAGGTAAAACTGGAGTCATAGAGGAAAGCTTTGGAAGCCAGGCAGACTCTCAGACACAGAGGCAGTGAAAACACCCAAACATCCAGCCGTATTTCCATCTTTGGAGCAAGCCATACCATCCCCCTCTGACTACAGCTTCCTTCCCTATCTAAAGAGGAACAGGTCATCCCCCTAACTCTGCAAAGACCAAACACCATGAGGTTCCAACCCTTCCAGGATGGCCAAGGACTCTTACATGCAGTTCCGAGCAGCTAAATCTCGATGAAGAAAATTCCTGTTGCTCAGATATTCCATTCCCAGGGCAATATCCACCATGAACTTCAATAGTGTCTGCAGAGGAATATGCTGGATGATAGAGGAAACAAGAAGAAAGACTATCTTTAAAAAGGAAAACTTGTAAGTGGTTTCCGCCTGAGGGGAAAAGGATGCTTTAATTTGTTACAGTGTAGTAATGAAATAAGGAAATAAATCTTTTATTTCTGTATCACTAATATCACAAATAAGGTTTTAAAAAAGGAATGAAAAAAAAAAACGCTTAAACTTCTTGGCAAACATATTCTTTTCCCCATCTTTAAAAGTATTTACAGTGAATGACATAGTTTCTTTTCACAAGGTATGAGGTCGAATGTGATTTTCCCCTGTATCCTTCAGAGTGGTACAGAACACACACATTGCACAGAGGAGGGAAAGGGACAGGTGGTCTGGCTTCACCAGTCATGAGGGGTGTGTGTGTGTGTGTGTGTGTGCGTGTGTGTGTGTGTGTGTGTATTTTGAGACGGAGTTTCACTCTTGTTACCCAGGCTGGAGTGCAATGGCGCGATCTCGGCTCACCGCAACCTCCGCGTCCTGGGTTCAGGCAATTCTCCTGCCTCAGCCTCCTGAGTAGCTGGGATTACAGGCATGCGCCACCATGCCCAGCTGATTTTTTGTATTTTTAGTAGAGACGGGGTTTCACCATATTGAGCAGGATGGTCTCAATCTCTTGGCCTCATGATCCACCCGCCTCCGCCTCCCAAAATGCTGGGATTACAGGCGTGAGCCACCGCGCGTGTGTTTTAATGTTTGGGAGGCAAAAAGTCCACTTAAGATGAACTGTTTCAAGGCACCCCTATCTGCTACGATTTCACTTTGAAATGTTTTGAAAGATACTTTTTTCTTCTAAACAGAAATTAGGAGAGTCTTTACCTCTTATCACAGGACCAAACCACTTCAAGTACATATTCAGGAATTTTCATTTTGTTCCTGTGGGGACTTCCTACAAATCTCAACAGTCTAGTGTTTTCTCTAGCTTATAAAAATCAAACTAGATTGCTGTGTTAGAAAACCAGCCACTGTTGGCATCAGTTATGAGGATGACTACTGATAAAACTTCCATGTGGTAATTGTTTAGTGCAATCATGGCCCTGCAGAAAAGGATTTGCACAAGTCCCTGTAGTCATGAATGGGTCCATCCATTATGTACCCTCCCCAAGGCATTGGATTTGTCATGGCTTGCTTTCCAAACATGAGTTTTCCAAAATGGTACTCATGAAGACATTGCATTTTTAATAATTTTTATTTTCCAACCAAGAAACATGTCAATTACATGCTATATAAATAAATGAAATGTTTTAATCTTTACCTTTAAGTAATGGAGCTGTTTAAAAATCAGGCATGGAAGTTTTATGTCTCTATTCTGTATTATTTGGGTATTTGGTTTTCTGGATGCTAATTTCCAGGAAAGGATTCAGGTCCTAAGAAATATTACATCCTAGTGTCATTCATGAAGGTGTAATGAGTATCAGGTATTATTCATTTGTGCTGTGTTTTCCTAGAACATTTCTGTTATTCTTGGAGACTGTGACCAAAAGTCACTTAAAAAATAATTGTGTAGCACAATTAATAAATGGGTTCAGCAAGGTTGTAGGGTACAAGATGGACATAGAAAAATCAACTGTATCTTTATATACTAGTGATGAATAATCTGAAAATGAAATTAAGAAAACAATTTAATTTACAATAGAATTAAAATACTTAGAAATAAAGTTAACAAGGAATTGTAAAAATTATATTCTGAAAACTATAAAATATTGAAAGAACTTAAAGAAGATCTAAATAAATGGAAAGATATCTTGTGTTCATGGATAGGAAGGCTTAATAGTGTTATAATAGCAATAGTCCCAAACTGATCTACAGATTCAACATAAGCTCTATCAGAATATAAATGACTTCCTTGTAGAAACTGATAAGCTGATCCTAAAAGTCATATGGAAACTCAAGGAACCAAGAATAAACTTATAAACTTACTACAAAGCAACTATAATTAGGACAGTATGGTGCTGGGATAAAAATAAAGATCAATGGAAGACAACTGAAAGTTTAAGAATAAACCCACGTATGATCAATTGACGTTTAAGAAGGATGTCAAGATCACTGAGAATAAGGGAAAAATAGTCTTTTCAACAAATGTTTCTGAGACAAGTGAATGGCGACATGAAAAGGAATGAAACTGAACCTCTACCTCAAACCATACACAGAAATTACATCAAAAGATAAATAAAGACCTAGATGTAAGACCCCAAACTATAAAATTCTTAGAAGAAAACATAAGGGCAAATCTTTGTGACTTTGGCTTAAGCAATGGTTTCTTAGATATGACACCAAAAGCACAAGCAATCTAAGGAAAAAAAGAAAACTGGATTTTGCCAAAATTAAAAATGTTTGTGTCTCAAAGAACACCATAAAGAAAGTGAAAAGAAACTCGCAAAATGAAAAAAATATTTACAAATAACCCATCTGATAGGAACTTGTGTCTAGCATATATACAGAACTCAGGCTGGGTGCCATGGCTTATGCCTGTAATCCCAGCACTTTGCGAGGCCAAGGTGGGTGGATCATCTGAGGTCAGGAGTGGATCATCTGAGGTCAGCCTGGCCAACATGGTGACACCCTGTCTCTACTAAAAATACAAAATTTGCCAGGCATGGTGGTGAATGCCTATAATCCAAGCTACTTGGGAGGCTGAGGCAGGAGAATCACTTGAACCCGGGAGGCAGAGTTTGCAGTGAACTGAGATTGTGCCATTGCACTTCATCCTGGGTGACAGAGCAAGACTCCATCTCAAATAAACAAACAAATAAAAACAGAATATATACAGAACTCTTACAGCCCAATAATAAAAAGATAGTCACATTAAAAATGGGTAAAGGATCAGGTAGACATTTCTCTAGAGAAGACATATAAATGGCCAATAAGCACATAAAAATATGCTCAATGTTATTAGTCAGTAGAGAAATGCAAATCCAAATCATAGTTAGATACCACTTCACACCCACTGGAATGGCTGGAATTGAAAAGTCAGATAATAAGAAGTGTTTTTGAGGACATGGAGAAATTAGAACCCTCGTCTGTTGCTGGTAAGAATGCAAAATGATGTGGTTACATTAGAAAACTAGCTGGTAGTTTCTCAAAAAGTTACACATTGAAGTTACCATATGACCCAGCAATTCTACAGTTAGTATATACCCAAGAAAATTTAAAGCATACGTCAACACAAAATGTGTACCAAATATTCATAGAGCATTACTCATAAAAGCCCAAAAGTAAATAACCCAAGTGTCCATCAACAGATAAATAACCAAAATATTGTATATCTATCTATACAACAGACTGTTATTCAATCATAAATAAGAATAAAATACTGTCACATGCTATACATGAATGAACCCTGAAAACATTATGCTAAGTAGAAGAAGCTAGTCACAAAAGATTACAAATTTATATGATTCTATTTATATTAAATGTCTAAAATAGGCAGAGAGAGAGAGAGAGAGAGAGTAGTTTAGTGGTTGCTTAGGGCTGGGAACAAGGAGGGTAAAAGGGATTACGAGTTGACAGCTAAAGAATATGGGGTCAGTTTTGTTTTATTTTTGTTTTTAGGTGATGAAAAGTATCCTAAAATTGTTTGTGGTAATAGTTGCACAATTCTGTGACTATACTAAAAACCACTGAATTGGAGAAATATATAATATTTGAATTATATATCAATAAAGCTGTCATCTTAAAAAAAAAAAAAAAGAAAGCACTGTTCCAGGAAAAGAGAGGAGGGAGAGAGAGAGAGAAAGAAGAGACACAAGATAGTTCTCTCTTTTGTTTCTGGAGACTGGTGTGTGAGGATGTGAGGCTGGAGAAGCTGCCGGTATCTTGTAACCATGTGGAGCGCTGGCTGCAGACAAACAGAGAAAGGTGGAACACTTTCGCACACTTGATGTTGAGGACAAAAATTGCCAACTCTGCAGCTGTGCTACCTCTGGGCTTTATTTCACGAGATCCCGTATCTCCGCTGAAAATCATTTTGAGTTGGTGAAGTCATCCCACTAGTTGCAGAACCTAAGCATTGACCCCAACTTACCTTTCCTGTTTTATCACCCCACCTCCTATCCTTCCGTTGCTCGGCTGTTGCCACGTGAGACAATCTGCTTTGACTAAAACATGGATGTGTTCCCAGATCATTTGGTCTTTGCTCATTCTGATCCTGGCTGTGTGCTTCTCTTAATTTTCTTCTGTACTCCTCCTACCACTCTTTTGAGGATATTCATTTTGGCAGTGTGGAATTGTTTTTTTTTTAACATGAAGTCTTGCTCTGTTACCCAGGCTGGAGTGGTACAGTGGTACGATCTCAGCTCACCACAACCTCCACCACCCGGGTTCAAGCAATTCTCCTGCCTCAGCCTCCAGAATATCTGGGATTACAGGCATGCACCAGCATCCCTGGCTAATTTTTGTATTTTTAGTAGAGATAGGGTTTCGCCATGTTGGCCAGGATGGCCTCAAACTCCTGACCTCAAGTGATCTGCCCACCTCGGCCTCCCAAAGTACTGGGATTACGGAAGTGAGCCACTGCATCCGGCCGGCAGCACAGAATATTTAAAACATTTCTCTAGCCAGAACTCATTTCTTCCCTGAAGTTCTAGCAGGCTGCTCACTTCACTGTGTGGTGCATATGTTATTACAGCCTGCCTCCCTCTGTACTATCCACCTCCATGAGAACTGGGGTCATGTCTCATCATCTGCCTGTCTGCTCTGCACAGCTCCAGGCGTGATGTCTGCCCTGGGCAGAGTGGCACTATGGGTCCAGCACCCAATCCCTCCTGGAGAAGCATGTTTAAATACACTGATATTGGGTCATCACAGTATCAAATGCACTGATAATAGTCTTGGGCTGCTCTAGCAGAAACATGATATATTTATTCCAGGCAGCAAAGAAAAGATCTAAATAGAAGATTGATTTTCCTGTTTGTCTATGCACTTTGTATCTTCCATCTTTTTTTTTTTTTTTTTTTTTTTTTTTT